CCGGCCAAAGCCGCTTGATGCGCCTCCTCAAGGTCGGCCTTGAGGGCCTTGACGTCGTCGTCGTGCTGCGACTGTGCAGCTGCGAGGTTGGAGGCACCGGTTGCTGCCGCATGCTCCAAAACTTCAAGTGACTCCTCGAGATGCGCAACGACATCCCGCGAGGCTCGAAGTTGAGTCCCAAGCGTCTTGAGATCAGCGTCGTGCTGGGCCCGGGCAAGGACAAGCTCCGAGGAGCGAATCTTGGCCGTGTCCTTCGACGCGTCGAGGCTGACTTGGAGGTGGACGACTTGCGCTTGGAGAGTAGCAACTTCCGAACGCAGCTGACCGAGGATCGCCTCAGTCGTGGTCGTCGATGCTGCGCTGGTCGGCGTGACATCCGTGGTGGCTCTTGACGGAGCAGTCGCGACGCTCGTCACCGGTGTGCGACGCTGCGCGGCGGTGGTCGAGGTGCGGCTGCTTGCCGTCAGAGGTTGCACCGCCGTCGTGGCGGGCGTTTGCGTCGACCGAATCGTCGATCGCGCAGTCACCGGGACGGTCGTTGTCACGCGCTGGCGGACAACCGTCGGGGTCTTGCTGCGCCCGAACGCGGTGGCGCGCGAACCGAGGTTCGTCGCCGCCGTCGGGCTTGGCTTTCGCATAAGGGCTTCTTCGGCCGCCCACTTGGCATCGGCGAGCTTTGCAGCTCGCTTCTGGTGGTAGAGCGGGTCGTAGAGGGACATGCGAATTCGTTTTCTGAAGCATCAAGATCACTTGCGCCGCCGAGGGCTGTAAAGGCGTTCAAGCCATCGCCGCGCGCCGTGTACTTAGAGTTTGTATTGCACGCTGGAGAAGCGCGAGCTGCGAGGCTGCGTCCTGACAAAGGCGCTCGAAGCGACGCTCTCGGAGGCACTATCGCTCTCGTCGCACTGGCTGCCACGCTCGGCGTCGCTGGTCCAAAAAGCCAATGGCTGGAAAATATCTTCAAGCCGTTGATTGCCCGTGTGAAAAAGCATTCGCATACGAGACGAGATTGTACTGTGTTAATTTCCTAATGACGTGGCGGCACACTATGCCGATGTTCATAGAACACCGATTCCGTTCGATTCACAGAGAAGCTCGGCGGCCGAGACTTTTGCGCCCAGTGGGAGGTTGCGCGCGTTGCGCAGTGCCTTGATCGAGGTGCTATCCGGCGGGAGTCGGTGCGGC